ATATATATATATAATGAGAGCCGAGTTTGTCTTCTATCTGTCGATCTGATGTCGGTCAGTTGCACGCACGTCTTTGTACCGAGCGTTGTTTCCTAAGCTCCGACAAAGCAACACTTATCCAATCTTTGTATCGCAACACCTCTTGCACCGAAAAATCTGCATAAATTATTTTAAAGTAACGTTTTCCAAAGCTACTTGTCACTATACATTTGACTCAATTTACTGATCGACTTAATCATTCAAAAGCCATCGCCATGATTCCTTTACTTAGTGTGGAAATCCCTTCTTTGAAGCACCTTGAAGACTGGGTACGCGGGCGACATTGTAGTTCCTAGTTGAGATCTCATCCTGATAAAAACATCAGGATATCCAAAACAGGTCGGCATGCAGTTTAGCATTTTCCCTGAACCTATAGCACGGGGCACTGTTGCAAAATTGAATGGGTAAACTGGTGAAGTCTGTCACGGAATAAGAACGACGAGAGAGAAAATAGGCGGGACTTTCTTATCTGGGTAGCCGCACCACATTGCTAGACTGTTCAAGAAATGATTAAAAGTTGTCTTATTATACTCTGGGACGGGTGATTATGAAGCGTTATGACGTTAAACTGTAGAAGACATGGCCTGCAGCACAACTGCCGTTATTTACAGCTATGAATCTTCACCACTGTGCGGACATGGCAGAAGAAATCGCTTGGAATTGACCGTCTCTGTATTCGATGCATTGTAAGTGTAAACTGGAAACATTCTATTAGAGACACTGAAGTACCGATAATCCGCATGAGTATAAAAGAGCTTTACATTGCCTCTCGGCTTTTCAGCACAGGGTGGTATCACTTGCGGGGATAAATCATTCGTGTACTACAAACATGCAGCCTGCTCAGAAGGAAGGACACGACCTTCCTAAGGGGCTCTTACTCAAGGAGCCCGGCATTACGTGACTGTGCAATTAGAAGATGTGTGACGTGATATTTTGTCTAAGAGTGAGTTAACCGCAGCTGTGATCGACAGCTCCCGGTCGTACTGTATGGTATCCAACCACCAGCCATGAGGCAATAGATTCTAATCTCGCTAGGAATTTCGGCCACAAGCCAACCGTTTGTTCAAACAGTAACTTTATCGAGTCGCACTGACTACGCTGAGTCATACCAGCCGACCGGTCGCCTCACTGTATTCTGTTTGATGATGCAAGGGATAGTACAAGATCTGCAATCTGGACATGAAAATATAGAATTCACAGATGAACTTGTACAGGTCTACTGCGATGTTCTTGTTCTAGAAACCCACTGCTTTCTAAAAGCACAAAATAACGGAGTGAGCTATATTTGTCTCCTTATCCTCATTTTCACTCGTTAAACAGTTGCTCCTCCATTTGTTCCCATTTGGTTTCATCACTCTTCATTCTTACCCAAATAGCATTATTCGTTACCGTGCACTGTGGCCATCCGAACCTTGGTAGAGCCGTACAGTTGTCCGACTGGACCCACAGAACTGGCCGAAACAGGTCCAGTCATGCACGGTCAACAGTTTGTGAGTTTTTAATGGTAGGGGCTCATGTGTCAATAGATTAGGAAACCATTTGCCATAAGTAGATAAATAAATGAGTTCGGGCAAGTGAACGAGCAGAGATGATAGACATTTCAGCTGAATAACAAATACAGACGAGAATTCCATCACTGTGGATAGAGCGAGCGGATTGAAAACAAGCGAGTAAACGAACAGCGTTTAAATTGAAAGAAGGAAAAGGACTGCTTTGTCTTCATTAATAGGTACAACTTACTAAGGAATGCGCCTTGTATTCTCCAAAATTCGGTTCCAGATAGTCGACAAATGGTTCAGGAGAGCAGCCTGGTTTCTCTCAATTTGAGAAATGACAGTGATGCCGGCGGAGTCGGGAAGTTTTATGCGATGAGGATCTACTTCAAAATCTTCTACAGAAACCAGGAGCTGGTCGATTGGGCCCTTCAAAATTCTGTGCAGGTACTAAAAATTTATTTCCGTACAAATACAGTTGAATAACCAATAAAGTGGGATGGGAGGAACACACTAGAATGAAGTGATGGACAAAAATTGTGGAAAGAATCCGCCTGCACCTACAGCATCAAATACTGAGAACTAATACGTGTTATTGGGATAGTTTCACAAAATAGAGTACTCAAATGAAGGAAATTAAGTGTGCCATTATGTTAGAAACTTCTATCGCGTTTCTAATTTATTAATCAGGGATAAAGTGTGAGTTGGGCGATTACACCGTGACAACTTCCGAATTCACAAATTCATTCGCTGTGTTAGGTATCGACACACCCTAACTTTACAGCATTCTCGAAAAATACATATGGTCTGCATACAAAACCTGCCTCTGGACATCAAGTGTCCTAATAGATAACAGTTATGGAGCACCAAGCGGCTAAATGTATATTGCTGACAGATGCGAGCTTCCGTTTGCTTGCGACGGAGATGAAAGAGAAAGCGTTCAGCTGTAGCACCCTTCCGGTGCCTAGCTGCATACCCCCCGAAGGAAGCACGAGGGCTGGGATACTACCAGGTTGCCCAAGCCTAGACAGGGGAAGCGAGTGCCGGAGGTCGGATTCGAACCACGGACCTTCCGGTCAGTAAATTCGCGCTCTAACCACTTGGGCCATCTGCGACGGAGATGGCGTTGCAGTGATTCTTTCAGCACTTGGAAAAATCGGAATACGCATGGCTATCCCCATGTAGATGTAGCATCATTAAGTAAGGGGGTGTTCCGGGGACCATTGCGGTCTTTTGAATCAAAATACACAAAGGCTCATAAATTACGCAGTATTATGCTCAAGGACCTTGAAAACTCTTGCGCTGTACACAGAGTGAAAATCTCAGTTTATATTCTGCTGAACGCCCAAGGTGTAGGCATGTGTTGAAATCCCAGTGAACATTACGGTTGCGGATGCTTAGGGCACTGTGTCAAGAAAACTGGTACCCATTCCCTCGAGAATGGCAAGTAAATTTAATACTAGCATTTTAACTTAAGATTAAAAATAATCGTGGTTTATTCTGTGGAGTGCAGATATGCATGGTTAGTGAGCTTCAGCTATGCTTTCTGTTCTTCCTCCTAGCCGAAGTCTGCTATGTTGCTGACAGCAGCCTTTAGAATTCGGCAGCAGGGAGAATGAGTAGTTTATCCACCCACCGCTCTGCAGCTGAGCTCTATTTTTGCACTACATGGGTTAAGGATCTTAGGTTGTCGCTCACAGGTTGCGAACCAGTCAAAGGAGGTTGTCAGAGTCATCTACTTTATATATGTTCAGGTGTTAAAATAGGTCTACTCGACTGTCCCTGGCTGGGCGCGTTCCTCTGCAGCGCTCCTCCTTGTACAGTGAAATTTCGAATTTGACTGATCGTGGATTTTCGCACACAAAGACGGACGCAACCAGCGATTGGAAAAGCAGCCTTCTTGCAGTCAAATAGGATTTAAGCCGCTTACAGTCTGGGCAATTTTAGTGTAAACAAATGAATCTCAACTGACTCTAGAAGCAGCTGTCCACAATGATTATCACAGTGACTTCGGTTGCTTTGATGATTGCACATCAACGTTGTGCCCTTCATCATCTCGTCGTTAAGGTCTTTAGACTGCTACGCATGGTATGAGTTTGGCATGAACAAATGTGCACCATCCATCGTTTTTTCCAGGTTGATTTGGACCGCTCCTCCTATAATGACTTTCAAATTGCTGTATGATGCAATGTTGCACAAGTTTGATAAGGACAAGGAGAATGGTGAAGCCATTGTTCAGCAACTGTCAGTACGAAAAAGGACATTGCTTAGCTCAAAGTAAGACACAAATGAAATAAAGCGTCATTATGAATGTATACTTTATTTTAGAATCAAAGCAATAAAATGGGTGACGATGACTCAACGGTGCGCATAGACAGCCAACCTACCTCAGTGCCAACCAACTTGATGTAACATTCGATTGCTTTGGATGCCATAGAATTCGCCCGTAGTAACATGCTCTGGTTCGCTAAAAGAAACGAAATAGTTGAAGTAAGAAAGCTCAGAAATGCAGGCTTACGTTCGTATGCACAACTGTTATCTCTATGAACCATGCAATTCTACGAGGTCAGATGACTAGTCAATTCGTTTTACTGCTTTTAAGGGTCGCTCCACAGTCCAGGGATTTACAGGAGGCTGTAGACAACTCAATCATGCAGTGATCGTTCCTGGGTTTTTAGACCGTCGGAGAAAACCTGGTAAGTAGAATTTGATCCCAATAAATACTGCCTTCTCATCAAACCAGTTGGCAACACACTGTGACCCAGTCGATTGGCCTTCCGTGTTGAGTAGCTATGGTAGCACAAAGAAAAAACGTAACATTTACTCAGTTTTGCAGCCTAGAAACTGAACCACTTCACATGTCATAGAGCTAACCTGTTTTCTCTCAGAAAATGTACTTTATCCACAAAAGCTTCTCTTATGTTAGGTCGTGAATTCAAGGAAAACGGTTAGACGAAAGAGAAGTTGATCTGTGGCTTTCGAGTAAACGAGTGATGTGATGAACTACTTCCAACGACTTACAAGTCATCAAAAATCCTTCAGCAGGTTCAAAAACACCAGTGATGCTATCTCACTGGGAAGTCTTGACAAGTGGATTAGCCGATCGAAGTAACCACACCCCGCCCTCACGTTATCTCGGCTGGTCTAAAGACGCTCTCCACATGCTGGCCAGCTCTACACTCTATCCTATTCACGCTGAACATAAAGTCTTTCCCTTCTGGAATTCCACTCAAATGTTAGCCACACTGGACGACCTTCGCGCGACTTCCTATGACCCTATCTATTATGAAATGACCGCACAGCTACACCCAATTACACACACTAAATGGAGAGGGCGTTTTCTCACTCCATATACTTGAATCGCGCGACTTCCTATGACCCTATCTATTATGAAATGACCGCACAGCTACACCCAATTACACACACTAAATGGAGAGGGCGTTTTCTCACTCCATAATACTTGAATAATTAAATGGTCAGCAGGTAGCACCTATTGGATATATTTCTTCAGTTGATTGAGGCCTACGCTTTTGATGCATCAAAGAACGCTCCCAAAATTCTACTTCTGATGCTAAAACCAGTACAGAGATACACTGTGTTTGTTGGAAGTACCCACACCCGGTTTAAGAAGGAATTATGAATTCTGCATTGTGAATTCCAAATTTTAGTAACTTATCGGCCGAAAACAGCCTGTCAATTAAGGAAGCTCACGGTGATATGATTTGCCTGTAAGCAACTGATTTTGTTTCACCAGTCCAAAAACGGTCTAGCTGTTAGTGAAGGGAAATTCAGCGTTCACAATTTCTACGGTTACAGACATACCTAGAAAGCTATTTCCAGTTCACGAATATCAGGAATGCTTTGATAGGTATTATTTACAATCACCGTTGTTCATCCAGCTACTCTAGTATTGGAGGAACCAAAGATAGTGCCACATTTCGGTGAGGATATACGATGATCGCTTGACGGCGTATACCATTGATTACACCTGAGAGTAGTCTGTGGTTGCGTCGAAGCTCCATCCCGTGTCAAATGGAAGGTGGAGTTTATATCAAAACTTGTGAAACTGATTTGCAGTGTTCGTTTGCAATGAATATCCATGAAAGTTCAAGAAGACGCGTGAGAATGTTTAGTTTTTCAAGACAACGTGCATGTGGGACGTTTACTTTCCCGTCCAAAATAGCTTGTAACTGCTTAGTTTGTTTTGGAATAAATGACTTCGCGGCGGAGGACTCCCCCTTTCACCTGCACTTCACCATGGTGCATGGTTGGTTGAGTACGATCAGAAAATCAGACTTTAAAGAAATGAATGCCGATGGCAGCTTTGACGCTCTACAGGTGGCATCACACTGAGGGCTACAAATGTGGCATTAGTTTGTTCTGTGGACAGCAACAGCAGAAAGGATGTCACAGCTAGCGGTGCACATGAAGCATGCGAAAGCAAGACTGAAAAATCACAGATAATGAACTTTCTCAAGATGATTAGTCACCACTAGGTTTGGACCCTGCATTATTCATTAGTATAAGAGTTGAGTAAAATTATTAATTGCCACTTGTACTGTACTTGAAAGGTGAACGGGCTCCATCGAAAGACCTCAGTCTGGCCCAAAGATTAAATAGCAACGTACCGTTTTCAGCTATTTCCTGTCTAACCAGGTCAGCAAGTAGGTCAGTCACGGAGAGATTGGATACTTTTTCGTGTATATTTACAATGCAGCTGGCTAGTTCCTCCTTTTGTTTTGCCGACAACTTTGGTTCCAAAAACCGAAGAATGTCAATTGTATGTGACCTCAAAAGCTGAAAATCGGAGGAGAAGCAGGGAAAGAATCTTCGGTATATTGAGTTCGAACATTCATGTTGAACCCGTTTTGGAAAAAAGACTGTTTGTGGAGAAAAATGTAGTCAAAATGTGTACTTACCGATAGAACGCAATTTCACAAAAGTCAAGTTTACTAGGAGATCCGATTCAGGGTGTACATTGACAACAAGGGATTCATTCTGCGGAGTTATACTATCTTGTTATGCTCAGAGAAGAAAATCCAGATGGCTTATTGGAGAGGTGTAGGTATGCGTAGAAATAGTGATGGCTTCTAAGTTGATTACTTATTTCGTAGAAGACCGGGAAATTTGGTTGACTATTCATTTGGTGTATTGGAACGAAGTCCAGACTATCATAAGCTAACCTTGATTGGTATTTTTCTTGCTGAAGAAGAATCAACATCCCTTGAAGAATGTCTTCATGGAACCAAATCAAAAGGTTGTAAGGGGATAATAACAGCTGTGGAAATGAGTTTCACTGACCTGAAATTCACCCACAGTTGTGCAGTTTCAAGATCTAAAGTAATTTTCTTGATCAGAAGTAAGTGTCCACAAAAGCCTCAGCAATAATCATAATATCCTTCTTTCATTTTCAACCCCTCCCTGCTGAAGAAAAACCACAAGGGTTATCATCACTCGTGGCAAGATCATTGATTATTGATGGCCCGTGGTAAGTGGGGCCACACTCCCGCCCAATGCTCCATTCAACTGGTTAGTTTATCAGTGAACTGTGGGATCCGAAAAAATCTGGTCAAAACGTTTGGAAAAGTCGCCCTTTGTGACTGTATGAATTTTTTCTCAAAACTGTATATATGAAAAGTCGGTGGAAGTATTGTCGTGCTGGCCAACGAGAATGACTCATTCTACATCTGCCACCAGTCTTTACTTTGCCTAGTTGATTTTCTGTGTTCATAATGCGTTGCGAGTGCAGTCATCACAAATCGAACTCTGTGATAAGTTGAAATCAATTTAAGCTAAAGTTAATACGAAGCGTCGTCAAACAATCAGCAAAACTAAAGATTAAGTAAGATAAACGGTTTGCATATCTACTGATGATCTCCTTCAAGAAAAAGCAATACGTATTGTCCTTTTACTACAGAATGACCACATATGTAAGACGAAAAGCCCACACCGATGGAAATTCAATTGCTTATCTCCAGTAAAACTGAATTTAACTATCCATTGAATTTTCATCCGCAAATTCGTTTCTAAGAGACCATGAAACCAATAGCCAGTGATTTTAATGTGTAGCTGAAGTATTTAATGAAACTATTCAAAGGCTCCATATTGTCTTTAGCTTGGAGACTTGCGGAAGCCTCCACTCTCTGTGATATGATAATTAGCGTCCTGTGCGAGGAAATTTGTGTGCATGTTTATTCCAAACTACTTATGAAGACGGTAGTAGCCTGTCGATAACGGGAGCTAATCAGAGCGTTGCATGGTGGAGAGGCCCAATGACCAGATTGTGGTCATGTCACATAACATAACTTGTAATTATGTAGATGCAGTACGTTACCCATAAGGGTGCTGTAAAGTTCTCGACAGTCCACGATCGGTTTCGCCCCTTTGGGGCGAAAATTTGTGTGCATGTTTATTCCAAACTACTTATGAAGACGGTAGTAGCCTGTCGATAACGGGAGCTAATCAGAGCGTTGCATGGTGGAGAGGCCCAATGACCAGATTGTGGTCATGTCACATAACATAACTTGTAATTATGTAGATGCAGTACGTTACCCATAAGGGTGCTGTAAAGTTCTCGACAGTCCACGATCGGTTTCGCCCCTCTTGGGGCGAAAACTTCAGGTAGGCGCAGTCCCCAACTTTCAGTCAACCTCATGTTCTACATGAACCCGAATCGGACAGATTTCGAAAAATACCCTCATTCACAAATCAATTTTGTTTTGGCGTTGTACTTACTTGGAACCCAAATGAACCTCTTGTTTATTATTTGTTGTCGTCGTTCCTCAGAACCTGGGTACTCACAAAACTTTTTTGGAACTTAGTGCACTTTTTTACGAAACACTTGTCACTTCAAATTTACGGCAAAATGACAGACGTTGTGAAAAACAGTTGTATGCCAAGAGAGTAAATTAGGGGCACTGCACAACCCATTAGTATTTATTATTTGTTTCTATAAAAGGACCACCCTAGGTAATCAAAGCATAAATCATCTTAATTTGATTTATTTGTTTTGTAAGAACTATAGTTTGCACCATGAACGGTTAACTGCAAACGATAACACCCAAATCATGGAAAATCACTCACATAGAGAATTAGTCAAATAACTTTTATCCGGCCGATCCTTGTGGAAGGGTGAGATAGGTAATTTGATATTCTTTACCTTCCCATTCAGTTTGTCGACATCTGAGAACCACTGTTCTGAAATCCCAATAAATTTACTATCTGAGATTACTTGTCTATCCGGCCCCAAACGACTCACCAGTTAGGACTTGACTGTTGTATTCTGTCCATAAAGTGTGAGCTGATCATGCTTACGCCTTTCGAAGTCTCAGTCGGAAAGAAAGGATTCGTAGAAACTTCGAGTTTGTTTATCAACGCAGTGCGAAAAACCGTAGAAGTTGTTTACTTGTAAGTTAGAAGATGGGTCCCCACCGTGTTGTGAAGCGCACAATTTCCGGTTAAGATGAAAATATCTAATCAGTGGTTATATTCCAGTTTAGGCCTTGTTTGTTCGTTTGACTCATAAAGAGGTCACTTTCCAACTAAAAACATTTTGTTCGCACGGCAACCAAAATTTGTGTCAAAGCACAACTAACTAGGGCCTTGAATATTTCATACGCGATTGAGCAAAAGTTTGTCTGTCCTATATCAGGAGCAATAATAAAAATTGGAGTGAATTTCAGAGAATGAAAGCTGCAAGTTTCTGGATGTTCGTGAAGCCTATGGAACTGGTTTGTTTTGAAGAAAACTGTGTACTTTTCCATGCAAGGCTTCATTAACCACTGGTTGTCCTCAGTCCGAATTTTATTCTGTGTAGTCTTGACCGCTTTATCACTTATGTACCGCTTCAATGGTGGCAATTGTATCGATCGGAAGCAGGATTATGTCGGTCGACAAGAAATTAAGTTTTGTAGTGCGTACAAGGCACCAGAGGAGGGCAAATTTATGAAGTTGCTTGACTATGCGAAGTGAAGTGTTCCTGTTTACTGGGCTAAGGCAGCGCTAGTCACGAACTACTTTGGTATATAAAAGAGGGTTAGAACGATGCGTCGCTAGGGCTTGCACGATATGCTTGTGCTGTGGCAGATAAAGCAGCATGAAATCAGCCATTGGGTTAACAGTAAGGTTGGTGTGGACGACTTGTCTGGCTATGATAGCGTTGAAGCATCGATTTTGGGATTCCAGTTTAATTCCAGTTGTTTGATTCCAGTTCACAGATAAGTAGTAGTCCCCCATTGTATCTGGATCCTAGGACATTCTCAAAGATGTAGAGAAGTTTGCACTTGGCAGCAAAGATTAGAGAGCGACGTCTTTTTCCCCGACACTGTTTACTGGGTACCAACGTAGTTTAATTTTACAGTTATATCCAGACAAGTTGAAACGGCTGGCGTATGACACTTATCTGATCATAATATAGGCAAACAGATCTCATAAAATTCTACGGATCAAGAGTTTCTGAGTCGTCGTTAATGAGTTTTGAGAAAATAGCTATTGAAAATATCAGATAAGACGGGGTTGGGTTGGAAAATTTCACTGACCAACAAGTGAATGTATGTAGTACAAAAGTCACAGAAGATTCGATGTTTCGTCGGGCGAGCCCCAAAAATGAACTGTTCTGAAACATAACGATGTCGATAAACCGACAAACAGAGATTCAATGTAAAACGAGGCCACGACCTTGATTCTCGAGTTCTAAGCCGGGATTAGTTCCCCGAATCTTGACCGCTAATTCGAACCTCGTGGGGTTCGAGTTTGTCCAGCAACTGCTGAGCAAGTTTGCGTTGCAGCGTTTTCGTCACGGGTCGAGGTGCTGTCCCCAGTGTATTGTAAGCGGAAGTGCACTGCGGGTGAAAGTGTGTGGTTGTTGCTTGTGAATATAGGGCGTATACATCTACCTTGAATTGGTCGTTGGGGTAAGCAATCCTGGTAACGTTTTAGTTGACCCGCATGATGATCAATGGGGACTATGAGACTTGATCTCTCGGCCTCAGCTGTGACTTCGGTTCGCTGATCTCCGCATTTTAGCTGGTTTCTGTTGTCCTGATTACCGGGAGTGGCTCATTGTTACCAAACAGTACTTGGTCACTCGCTTAGGAGTTGTGACTAAACCGTTGGTAATGAGTGTTTGAGTTCACCTTATTTTGATCCATTTTAACTTTTCATCCAAAGATGCTTCAGATTACTGTTGATACTATGCTCACTATGTTGTATCGCATTGGAATGCTTCTCATCTGCTGCATACTTTATTATCATTGCAATCCAGCGTGACAATTCTGAGGTCTTTGCCCAGTGACAGAATTTCAGATTCGGCGCCCTGCGGAAGTACTTCTAGTTGATGTCTGTGTTGTTTAGTGAAGAGGTAAAGTTGACTGATAGGTGGTCAACAAGGTTCACTCATCCGAATTCGAACCAGCCGACATCTATGAATGTCGGTACTAAAGACTGAATCTTATGGTTTAAGTACCCAAAGTGAATTCTGACGTTTGCTAGATGAGTGTGTTGTAGTAAACGTGTAATTTTAGTTCACAGCAAGAACTACAACTGTGACATATTTTGTGGCCATGCCATCAAAGGCCCAGTGTGACAGTCAAACATCAGAAAGGTTTAGCCATAAAGAGAGCAATTAACGGGCACGTAATTGCGGCGACAAAGGGCAATTATGTTTTCGTTGTTAAACTAAGTCGCGCAGACTGTGCATTTGAAGCCAGACTGCTTTTTATTTATTCACTACACTTGCGGTTAGTTGTAAACGTCCACGACTGAGTTGCGGCTTCACTAACCCGCGGAAGAACGTGTCATCGGCACGATGTAGTCTGCCGATCTGGGTTATTTGCTATTCATTTTTATCGGGCACAAAACACCTAATATCCTACGGTCAACAGATGTGGACACGTCAGATAGGTAAATAACAACTTGCACACAACGTAGCGTTGTGCCGATTTTCGGTAATGTAGGTTCATCATATTGGTCTAATCATGTTTAAATTTGTGCCGTTTAATTTACTTCGAAATCTGGTAACCATGAAACACTCACCGGACGTACACGGTCAATGAAACTTGAGTACAAATTTGCGCTCATCTTATCCATACTGGTAGGTAGATAACAAATTAGACTTTTAACCAGTAGATTACGTTTGTTCTACAAATGACACACGAAATGTTCTCAATTCACCTGATATCAATAGAAGTATTGCACGACGCACGAGACGCACGAATTTATTCGACCATCACCGGTCATTAGTTTGAACAAGTTCGCCAATTTTTGCGTCATTTTGTGGTTCAGTAATTTTACAACAATTTTTCTGTGCAATTTATCCTGGGTTTTGGGATTTAATTTAATCCAACTTGGCAGTAACTGGTGTTAGTCAGAAACCAACCATAAATGTTGGGACTTTAGTTTACCTTACATGACCAACGGGTAATATACAGATAAAATTTTAACTTGATGAGTAAAATACATATAAATAAAAACTATCATTTAGGCAAAATCTGTGAAACAAGAAGAACGACTGGTGCATGGATAGCTAGAAAATCGTCTGCACAAGTGGAGAGGTAGTCAAGGTGATTTCATGTGAAGGTGAAAATGGAAGGAACGTTCACATGTGTGTGCGCGCGCGTATCAACAGCTCTTACAACCACACTGTCTACGGGAACAGGCCCAACACTGCTTTTTCCCGACGTTGCATTCAAGGATTTTCAAGTTGTTTTTGCTTAATAGCTTGACGAACATGCTGAGTTATTTGTTTTGTACCAGTCGGTCGCCCGACAGACGATGAAGATAAACGGTAGGAACTAACACGCGAAGGAGAACCGAAAGGTCCAGACAATGAGGACATGGGTTTTTAAATGAAAATAAAAACAGATTGCAAGACTTCACCTACGCATGTACCTGCAAATGCGCCTAAACGAATATTACTCTTCAATTCGGAACGCTTCCTACTTCTCATGCATCTCTATGGAAATGACTACAAACACATATTGCAATATGCTAAGTTTTCTTTCCTTATCGTCACTCATGAAAGTTAGGCACAATAAGCATATAAAATGAATAGCATAAACAATGTTGATCGGTTGATCTCATCAGACGGCCTGAATAACACTAGGATAGCAAACATTTCTTGTATGCATGGTCGGCGTTGGTGTGATTGGATCGCTAAAATTTCACGGTTTGTATTGCGCTAAAATATTCAAAATGATATGACCGGACAGGTAGCCGACACCTGAAAAAATGTTTGGTCATCGATGACACAGGATAGTGATTTCTGTCATGAAACTCTCAGGACTACAACATTCTAAAAATACCATCACCCGTCCCAAAACGTCTACTGGCACTGTCAATATAGGCGTCTCCGAAACTGCGGGCGAATTCGAAGACTACATAGCCAGCTTTGTGCAGAGTAATTCCCCCAGTGGTCATGCAACACCACCCGGCTGCAATACATACGCGCCGTGAAGTAGAACACGGCTTGAGTCTCAGGGAGTCACCCTCTAATTAATGACCAAATGCCTTTCCCGTTCCCCCAACGAATCCCAATAATTATTGGTTATGGCTCCATATTGACAAGCATTTTTGAGCACGGCTTTATTGCAAACATTGCCTGTACTCTTTATGTTATTGAATCCGTGTAATTAAGGATCGCGCTTGAAGATAATAAGAGATTTTAACTCAACTGTCAGCACAGCCGAAAAACGTGTGGGCCTAATTGATAAGTCGTCGGGCTAGCTCCATGCAGATTGGGAAGTTTCAGTAGGCGTAAGATTCGCTACTCAGTAATTGGTTACTTTCATTGGAATCACAGTGCACCTACTTCTTGGAAGTCTTCATAGTAGTCCAACGGCAACACATCGACAGCCTCGTATAGAATGTTCAGCCTCAACTGTGGAATGGGTGATTGCGTGAGCGAAAATACATTATTCTTCAGTAAATATGTCGGTGAGTTACTGGCAGATGAGCACTTGGCGATGGACGTTTCACATTGCTTTGCAGCAGAAACTTCCGCAGTTGTGGATAGACCTGCCACCCACGATCGTTTCTTTTTCCCCGAAGATTTCAACTTTTCTGTTGTGGGGTTTGTTTCTGTCTCGTAGTAGTCCGTATTAGATGGCGTTGGACGAAAACATGTTACGGGCATTGAACGCTTGCGAGACCGGGCTCCACCGGGCGATCCGGTGACGGAGTTCAGCCTTCTTGGTTCGTTGGCATTTCCGCCGCATGCCAATTCTTGCCAGTTGTTGGAATTGACGATGTGTAATGTGTCGTATGGGGATCGCATAGGTAACCATTTTTGCTGTTCTGACGACTGCGACAGATCCGATATTGGGATGGTGACAAAAGCTGAAAAGTAAACAGTAGTTCGTCTGAATACGTGGGGAAACACAAACACCGATTTCTTTAGGTGTATCTGGAAGGCAGCAGAAAAACATGACGAACGCTGACAGGGTGAAAATGCAGTTCGCCTTACAATAGAAGCACCAATTTGCAGGTCACAGGAGCGATAATTCACTGTTAGCGGCTTTAGTGGCTTACACCTTGTAAATTCTAACGAACAGGATTATTTATGTAGCAAGATATTCGTCCTACAAAAGGCACGATGTCGTAAAATGACTGTGGCGGCTACTTGATGTTATCAAGGACAAATATTGGAATGACTTGTGGCGCGTAAACCTCTTGCATTAAAAAAAACATTTGACAGTCTTTGTAGCGTTTAAGATAAAGCTTTAAGAATCGAGATAGTTTGGAGAGTAAAATATGTATTTGGACTGTATTGTATTTGCATTCGACATTTCCCACGAGAGCGGCACTCGCAGTAGAATACGTTACGACCCCGCTAAACACGGTTTGGAAGCTCAAATTTTTCAAGTTTGAGAATATCCACACACCGTTCGGATAGTTCATGATATGTTGAATCATTCAGGGTTATTGGAATTCGGGTTATCCAATGAGTGCGGTGAATGAAAATCAGCAGGTACATAAAGGAAACTACTCATAAGATTGCTAAAAACTCTTCGACAGCCCACAACCGGTTTATCCGTTCTTGGGGTTCATCAGGCAGACGCAGTCAGCATTGTTAAACTGACCTAATTCAGTTGACTCAGATGGTAAGTGCCAAGGGAAAATTCATTTCCCCACTGTCTATATGGTGCTTGGTTGCTTTGGGTAGATTGATCTTTTTACCAAGGACAACCGTATCGGACTTTTGTCTGAATTTAATATTTTATTGCCCTCGTTAACCTTCGCATCCCGCGAAAATTCTAGTTCTACTTTTGGCAGATCGCTTTAAACTCTTTCCTCTTCTCGAATGAACATCGGTCTCCACGTTTCCATGAGGAGATATTATAAAGTTTAGCTCAAGAGACAGCTTTGAGGTGGAGCCTCTTTAGATTACCTCTTGACAGAGTCGCCACGTTCCAAGCGCAGAATCTTTGAAGAAATTGAAGCATACTATTGTTAGAAGACACTCATAATAACTAACAAACACGTCAAACCAGGACGTAGTTTTTGACAAAAATGTTTCAATGGTATTTCACTTATCACGAACAGCAACAGGCGAACCGAACGGTAACAATTTCCACAAAAATTTTTAACTTAGGTTGTAAAATAGGAGCCTCATTTTCGGACGGTCTGATCAAAAGAATCATCAGCTGCTGCACGCTTCTCTCAGTGCGCCGAAAACTATATAGACGGGATAGTGCTTGGAATTTGTGAGTTTTTCTCCGGTACAGCACCTGCATGCGTTGACCTTCATCCTATTTGAAAGAAGCAAACCGAATTGCGCAAAAAAACCCTCTGATTGCTTCGGGGAAGAACGTCAGAATTCACGATGACGAATAAGTATAATGATATTCCTCACGCTGATTCCCAATGAAATTAGCCTATATAAAGGACAGTAAATTTGTGTCGAACCAACAAAAAAACGACTGTATGCGAATGCCTGAGCGGGCTGCACCATTCCACCATCGGTCTGATCTAAAAGTCTTTGCGTTCACCATATTACCAGCGGTTACTTTCATACCATCTCATTATAGCTGAAAAGAGACCTAAAATACGATGGAAATAGCACGTCCTCCCTAAAAAAACTTCACAGAACATCACCTGACCCTGACTGAGCTGCTATCAAATCTAGAATCAAATCAACGTTCACCAGGCTCCTAACTGATACCGGAAGCAGGCTGAAATTCATCCATTGTTTCTCGCCTAGGAACAAGCACATAAAGTGAAAACTTTGACGATCGTCACGAACCTGTCCTTTACGCTTAGAAAAGCCTATGGTTAATCAGGGGACCCCTTTGTTTTATTGCTTGGTTACACCGTTTGCAGTGGGTCCATGCAGATGAATATCAGGGGCAGACCGTGGACCTTTGAATACTGGGTCAAGTAAACGAGTCTTTCCTTTTGACTTCCAGCTCTCGTGATCAGTGAACTGACTGAACCCCATGGATAAACTGCGCGCTGAGACCAGAGGCCAAGGCTAAGGGACTTCCACGTCACTTTCCCTTCATTTTTTAACATTCGGCTTTTCTTGCGTTGCGCCTTACCGATAAATTTCATTTCATTGCAATAATCTTTTTCTCTATTTAAGTGCACTGACACACCTGTGAATCAGTGAGGCACCAGTGTTCTGTGGCTTTTGCCGGTGGATGACAGAGGGTGTACCATGTTTTCCAAATTATCATGCTGCGAACAGTTTCACCCAACAACAAAACACCTGATGTCGCAAACCTAAATAAACCGGTCCTCCTGCGGCGCCGATTACGGCAATTAACCAAAGACGACTGCCACTCACAAAGCCGTATTGAAAAAATTGCACTGAACTTCACGGATGATCAAAAAATGGTGGATGCAGTAAATCTCCGGTGCAAATGGGTATTTTGTGGACTAATCGAATCTTAGGGAGTTGGAACCTGGATGCGGAAGCTCTATGGAGTTAACCCCAAAATCTTCAAATACATAAAAGGAAACCGAATTGGGAGGAGTTACTCTAGTGGTACAACTGATATTTGTTCAACTATGATTCAGAGTCGTATATGTCTGCAGACGTCGTACCTGGGCATTTCCCTCCTACCATAATGTTACTCGGTGAGTTCTGAGACTGGCAAGGTTGCATTTAGTTAGCATATGAGAAAATGTTTGCAATACAATTTCACGAATTATGAGGAAACCCAAACGACCTCTTCAGTATCAAGGATATGGGATAAATGGTAATGATACTGGAGACCAGGACTGATTGAGAACCAAAAATTTAGAATCCGAATATAACCTGGTACGCTATTCACGGATTACTGAATTAGCTTATCTACCATACCCAGGGCGTCACCATTGAGTATTCGTTTCATCCTAATTGAGTTTTAGTTTAGTTTTTAAAACGGTGCTGTGTCTCTAGAGGGGCATTCAGGCGAATAAGAGCGTTGAAACCAGCCTCAAGAAGTCTTTTGTATTTGATAAGCTCTCACTAAGTCGTTCGGGTTGAGGGACGCTTTCTATTGTTTTCTGCTGCTTCATAGGATGCCTCCGTGGTAGTACTTGTGTGCTATTGTGCACCAAGGGAGCTGTTCTTTAACCAAGCAGCCTCAAGGCACTTTCTAAATATCTCAGGCCGTCGAACTCAATATTCATCATTTTGAACTTAAAGACCCAGCCCTGTCAATCAAGTACTGCTGTTTTTGTAAGCGGTTATTGAAAATAGGGACTTTGACAAAACTGCCTTTAAGGTTGAAGGAAACTCATCGACGTTGTAGAATATTGTCAAAAAAGGTTCCATCTGAGTGGTCTGTTAACAAATCTTAGTTTGCAGATGAGTACGGAAATTTATGTGCACACACACACTGTTAACGTCCGTTTGGGAACCCGTAGAGGGTTCAAGTCTCATCTTACGCTTCAATGTCAAGTCTCTTGAACACGTCACGACTGAACTCTCCGGAATGATATTAAGAGAACAGTTTGTTTGGTCGTCCAAGAGCCCGATCAGCCACAGGTGGAACACATCAGTGAAGTTGGTTTAGTTTAAATGTTAATTGATACAAAGTTTAGTCGAGAATACATTGTTTCCTCTTACGTGATACGTCAGCAAAACTAGTGTAATTTAGTTCTTGAGCACGCAATTTTTATTCTAAAAACAACGAGTAAACCTAGACACGTAGGTGAATCGAGCCGCTGTGCTCTTTAAGTTCATAAATATTTGGAATGATGCAGGTAACTGAGGATGTTATTACCACAACTCTTTTTAAACTGAGACCCGTTTCAGAAGCATTCGCTGGATCTACGTTTATGGGAAACAGAGAGTAGAGATTTTCTCAACAACTCAAAGGAGTAAGGAAGGCTTTCAGTGGGTATGAATATATCACAAGCTAAAAGTCATTAAAATACTGGCTCAATTTGGACCCGACTAGCATTTCACTGTGCAATCCTAATGTCTTAGGCTTCAACCTTGTCTGCTTCTTTCCTTTGATTAAGGTTTTTAGACGCTTAACTGTCCTCGCTCAACCAGTTCAGTGACAATTTCTCCAGGCAAAACCTCCCGCTATTTCAGTTGACATAATAGGTGAGAAAATCATCTGTGTATCGTTAAGTCGGAAATATCGCGTTTCACTAAACTGGATAGGCAATGATGTTTCAGGATGCGCAATTCAGCAAACTTCCAAAAAATATTGACCGTCATATGAGTATACGATCGCAAAGAAAACTGACTGATGTTTATATAACCGAGAATAACAACTGAGATCATATGCTAAGTATCTGAAACGTCCTTACTGAAATGCTACTCCAGGATGATAGGTCTCCAGGTTAAGAATCCATGGTCTTTAAAGTTCTACTAAAATTCGGATCACTCAGACTACTCTTTCATGTAGGTAAAACACAGCTGTCCGGGCTAAACTACTATGGATCTCCAAGGACCTTAGTGGAATGACGTTATAAAAGAACCAGGTTATTTACACTATTCTGGCGAAATCACTTCGGAAACCGTAACCCAGTGGACCCTAAAGCTATTGTTGGGTAGTCAGTTAGAGGTAGCTCTTTGCATTGACCCTCAGATATCAAAAGCCAGGAATTCCCGCAGCTAACGGTGATTTACCAAAGTAGCCGTGCGACGGCGGAAAATGGCTCATGCTTAATAAAGGTGACGACCTAGGCGTATTTTTCAATAAGTCGACTGTGGAGCACGACTTGTATATCAGTCACGAGATCTCACGGGGTCTTCCAAATCACGACTACCACCATCTCAGAAGCCTCACGGGTATCCACCACTCTCCGTGACTGTGATAAAGTAGTGCGGAACTGAATGAACTTCGGTATAAATATGGCCGAAGCCTTCATGTACTTAACATGGTCATCTACAA